GTTTGTGGGTGGAGCATCCACTCCTCTAAGGGGACGTTGCTCCTTGGTTCAATACGCCAGGCAAATGTGCTGCCTGCAATGAACGTAGGTTGAGATGTGCCCATTCTAAGAGGCGTTTTACCATCTCGAAAAGGTGTTTCGAGGTGAGCACACCTTAGCGATTTATATAAAATACCACTGTCATGCTGTCTGAGCGGACTAGCACGTGGTGTCCCTTCAGGTCCAGTAAGAAGGTCTGAAGGGCTCGACATACTGCCATCATCTTGAGGCAGTTGATGTGAAGACGGCCTTCTGCATCCGACCAGGAGCAAAAGATCGGTCTGCCTTCGCACAGAGCTCCCCAACCCGTGTTGGATGCATCTGTCGAGACAACCTTCCTTTTGTGAATCAAGCCCATAGTCACACCCTGCTTGAACCACTGTAGGTCTTTCCAAGGGGCCAGAGCTGTTACAGAGGCCTGGCTCACCCTGACACGAATGTGTCCGTGACGCCACGCATGGGGAGGAATTTGAGGTTTCAGCTAGTACTGAAGGGGTCTCATGCGGAGCAGGCCCAGCTGTAGTACCGGTGATGCAGAGGCCATGAGGCCCAGTATCTTTTGAAACATCTTGAGAGGGCGAGAGGCTCCGATTTTGAAAGACGCCGCAAGCTTTTGTATGGCCAGTGCACGTTCTGGCGTGACTACCGCCCTCATGTGGACGAAGTCGAAAATTGCTCCCAGGAATGTTGGTAATTCAGAATGCGGACTCCCATCTACCTCAGAGGGGAGAGGGCCACGTCCATGCACTTCGTAAAAGTGCAGGGAGCCAGGGACAAGTGTACTGATATGCCACTCTATCGAAGGCGAATCTCAAGAATCGTCTGTGATGGGGGGCTACCTGGATGTGAAAGTAAGCATCTTTCAGTTTCAGAAAAAAGAAGCAGTCTCCTGGGCGTATTTGCGAGAGGATCTGGTTCAGGGTAGTCATTCTGAACAGACGTTTTATGAGGGCACAGTTCAGGTGTCTGAGATCGAGGATGGGCCGGAGGCCGCCATCCTTTTTGGGAACGAGGAAGTAATGGCTGTAGAAGCCTGGCTCTGAGCTGGTGGAACCGTCTCTATGGCTCCTTTTGTCAGCAAATTCTTCACCTCGGATCGCAAGACGTGAGCATTCTTGCTCTGCACTGAGGTGGAGACCACGCCGCAGAACCGCAGGGGTCTTCAAGTGAACTGGAGTGAGTAACCTCGTTTTATAATCCCCAGAACCCAGTCTGACACTCCAGGGATGGCCTGCCAGGCCTCGGCCCATGTGGCGAGGGGTTGGATTAGTTTGGGTGGTGAGTCGCCATGCAGGGACTTGACACTTGTGATAACTGGAAGAGGAAATTTGCTCTTTTTGAAAATGTTTTTTTATTTTTCTTGCTATAACAGCGGCTGTTTGTGAGGGCGCTTTTGGAACGGGCCCAGTATTCACAACAGTTAATAAAACAAACATACTGCCACTGGCACCCAGAACCGAACGGGGTGCTTGAGGGCACAACAGAGGGCGTTTTGGGGGTGGTCCGGCACTGGCGAGATTTTGGAACCTCCTCTTCCTGCCCAGCAGATCAGGACGATGTCTGAGGCGCAGGATCCAACGTCAGCTTGGGCTGGGGTCCTTGGTGCTTTGAAATGGGTAGCTTCTGGCCGAGCGGGAGCGCTGTCGGGGCTCAGGCTTCTGTGTAGGCTGAGCGGGCGGCGGCGCAGGTTTCGCTGGCTGCTGTAGGTCTGGGGCGACTGGTGGCCGTTGCAGAGCTGGAACGCTTAGGCAGGAAGAGCCGCATTGCCTGGGACGACTTCTGTGCCGCTGTAAAACACTCTGCAAATCCCTCGACGGCGGGTCCAAACAGCCCCGTAGGGAAGACCGGAGAGTCGAGGAAGGGGACGTTGTCAGCCTCAATCTTAGTGAAGTTTAGCCATAAGTGACGTTTCAACACAACTAAGCTGGCCATTGACCACCCGATGGCATGTGCTGTAGCCTTGGTAGCTCGCAAAGCCAGGTCTGTTGCACTGCGCAGCTCCTTGAAGGCTGCGGGGTCGGGTCCGGACTAGTCCATGACTTGGAGGAGTTTGGCCTGAAAGACCTGGAGCACGGCCATGGGGTGCAGAGCTGAGGCCACCTGCCCGGCGGAGGAGTATGCTCGTCCAGCGAGGGCAGATGTCATTCTGCAGGGCTTGGAGGGGTGAGCGGAGGTGCGCAGCCACTGACTCAACGAGAGGCAGTTTTTCGTAGCCTCTTTCCTCAGCGCCATCCACTGAGGAGAGCGCAGAAGAAGAGGATGTGTGAAGGCGAGTTGAGTAAGGAGCGTGCCACGACTTCATGAGCTCGTCGTGGACTTCATGGAAAAAACGGGCCTGGCGGTGCCCCGGCAGGAACCATTCGTCCAGACGGCTACGAGTGGGCTCTTCGACCGCTTTAGAGAGGACACGGAAAAGTTTGGCATCCATCCCTAGCTTGGCATCACTGGGATCGGCAGACGGCAAAGGGGTGTGATCAATAGTAGAGCCCGACATCTCCTCCACGGCTGACGCTATTAGAGACATGCTGTCATCTAATAGCTCGTCCTCTTTTACACCGAACAAGACCATTTCGCTCGCATTCCGCATCTTGTTCAAAGACGATGGGAGAATCCTCTCTGCTTGGCGAGGGCGAGGCATGCGGGATCTGGGCTGGCGTAAGCTCGCTCGTAATTGAGCGCTTAGTCCCCTTGTCCCGCTGTTTTTCCCTCACAGGTCCCTGGGAGGAAACAAATGGGAGGGCACGAGGGGTGGAGTCACTCTCTGAAAAGAAAGCGATCCGAGCGCGCAGAGAGGCGAGACTCATGTTCACGCATTCACCTCGGTCCGAGCGGCTTCTGCGTGGGGCTTGCCCAAACAGGAAACGCACTCTGAGTGGCCGTCGTCAGCATGCAGTGCAATCCTGCACAAGCCGCAATGACGGCGCGGCATTTGAAACAATGCCGCTTATTTTAGTAAGTGAAAATGTGCTTTTTTAGGCTCGCCGGATGGTGGCAGGGGACGAGCTGGTGTCTGCGCCGAACGCTGAAGGTGGCTCACAGAGCGGGCGGGAACAGCAGAGGTGCAGAGAAAAAGGCAGCTTCTGTCCCCAGAGAGACGCGTCAATGGCGAGCACTTCAAGTCCCGCAGATCAGCAAAGGGAAGATCGTTGTCACTGAAGGAAAATTGATCTGAGATCCTATGGCGAAATGCCATCTTATATAGCCAGATGGCCCCGCCCATTCTGGCGGGCTTCGGCACCATAGGCTCGTGCAGTTCTGCTTCTTCTTTTTTTATTTACTGCACGAACCAATGGTTGTAAAGGCTTCAGTCCTCTGAGAAAAAGGAGTTTTTCCCCATAGCGTTTAGCGACACAGTATGAGTGAAGTATCAAAAGGGAACAGACTTTTAAAACCTCATATTATGTGTTCTATGTCCTCAAGCATACAGGTTTTCCAAGACTGTGCGGTTGAATCCTGTGGGAATAGGTTAATTTTTAGTTATTTTGTCTTAATTTATCTTAATAAGTTGGCCCCGGAGGACGAGGAGCTCTGGTTTACAGCAGTAATGGTGGTAAATGTGAGCGGTGTGGGTTAAATGTGTGTAAAGGGTTAAGAGGGTGACGGGACGCGATGGGACTGGACAGCAGCCAGACTGAGTTTCCTCATCACGCTGGATATCTGACCATCATTAAAGCATCTGACTTTGAGAATGACATAATCCAACACAGCAGACGCTCACTGACCAACATCAACATCAACATCACACATAAAACACCTTCTGCACTACTGTACTTCATACACCAACATGTGGACCTCTAACAATGTATTTACATGCTATTTGCACTTCTGTTTTAGACGCTGCATTTCATTTTCTCTGATTATCAATTTTACAATTGATTTGAATGCATTAATGCAATGCATTGGACAAAAGCATCTGCCAAATGCATAAATGAAAACGCATGAATAGCCTTCTTAAAATAGTGAATGTACAACAGCATGAATTAATGAGGCCAAACCTAGTACTATTGACGCCTGCCAAAGTTTTTCCTCAAACATACTGGATTATATAAAGGAATTTTTCCCCCCTCTTTCTCTCCTCTTTAAATTCTTACGTCTGTTGTTTTTTGTCTGTTTTTTGTTTTTGTTTTTTTAAATGGATGTTAAGATGTTATGTTATATGTAAAAGACAATAAAAAGTTGATCACAAAAAACAATCTAATTAAATCATGTCTACTCTAATCAGGGTTATATTAGTCTCATTGAGATGATAATATAGATTTGTTAATACTTTAAGTTAGTTTTTATATGTTCTGTTTTCATTTTGTTGTTTTTGTCATTTTTATTAGTTTTTTAATGTCTATATAGTTTAATTAACTTAATTTCAGGTTGTTATTTTATTTTTTATGCTCATTACTCCACATTAAAACACACATATTTCTGAAGCTCTGCCTCTGATATCAACTCGAACAGAGTTTATTGTGTTTTTCTGCTGTGGGACAGAGATGTGCACACACAGGACAGTTCGATAGTTTGTTTGTATTTACACACCAGCTTGCGAAATCTGACCTGCAAAACGACCAGCACAGACATTTATTCCAGAACTTAACAAAGAACAACTGCGACACTGTTGCGTTTCGTCTGTTCTCAGCTCGTGTCGTGTCATAGCGCGTTATAACGGCAGTGAGAGTGTTTTCATCGCAATCTTACCAGTTTTCCCACGCTCATGATTCCTGATAATCCTGCTGCTGAGTGATCGCGCTGCTCGAGCTCCGCTGCTGCGCGCCCCCGCGTATCTGCGCGTGACCGCGTCCGCTGCGCTGCGCATGCGCGGAGAAAGCGCGGGAGCGCTCAGTCTGAGGCGATGCGAAGAACGCTGCGATTAGGTCGTTAACCCACACTAAAGTCATCCAAAATGGGAAAACTGATATTATTACTCACGTTAACCAATTTATACATTTAATGAAGCGATTTTTAAATTGGCAGGACTGAGGCGGTTTAGAGTTACCCGGTGAGTTTCGGGATAATGACTCCTCAGAGCTGCTCTGACATGCCGCTGATTTTCCCAGAAAAGCTCCTCGTATATCCAGCAGGTAAGAGAGAGGAAATAGCTCCAACATGCAGAGGATTTCTTGGAAAACTGTTCATTCATCTTGTAAGGCAGTAATTATGAGACAGGTGTGTGTTAGACTCTCCTCAGGCGTGTTCCCGCCAGGTTTTCACAACAAAACCTGCCCAATTGCTATTCAAAACTAGCCCAAAAGTAGCCCAATGGCGTTTCGAGGATGTCCCCCGTTAAAAATGTTTTCAGGGGTGTAAAATACACGTTTTTTCGGGGGGTTCCCCTGATAAAATTAGCATGCCAGTGGATCAATATGTTATTGTGGTCGCTTCAACCCACAGACATGAAAAACAACCCGCGGCAACAGTGATCGTGTGTGTGAGACGCGGGAGCTGATGGCAGGGGCGCTGGATATTTGTGGCGGTCAATGTGGATATTGTGGATGAGTTCTTCTGTGTCATCACGTTCTATTAGTTCTACAGCTTCAGTTTCTGAACTTTCACGCTTAGTAACACATACAGCTGTTCCCTCACCACAGTGCAACAGTGAAAAGGGACCCCTTTCAAACAGTGCCGCGTTCCCAACCTCGTTTAAGTGACATATACCGGTATTGCGGTATTTTCAAAATTCATATCATAACAAAAATAAAAACCGGTATTCGGTATGAACCGGTATACCGCCCAGCACTACCACACACACTGATGATTGACAGGTGAGATTGACTGATGGTTTTGCGACCGACCGCCTCTGATTGGACGATTTCACCTCAACATCGACCCGCCGACTTACTATAATACTTTTAGTATATATGAATACTTGTTAAAAACATTGATTATTATCAATGTTGTGCTGCCCAGTATTTTTGTGGAAAACTGAAATTTCTTCATGATTATTTGATGAACAGAAAGTTTAAAAGAACAGCATTTATTTGAAATATAAATATTTTACATCTTATACATCAATTTAATGCATCCTTCTGATTTTTTTTTGTTTTGTTTTAATGTACGTACGGCAAACTTTTGAATGGTGGTATATCACTAAAATATTGTGCAGCACAACTGTGTTGAACATTGATAATAATCAGAAATGTTTCTTGAGCAGCAAATCAGCATATTAGAATGATTTCTGAAGATCATGTGACACTGAAGACTGGAGTAATGATGCTGAAAATACAGCTGCGCATCACAGAAATACATTACAGTTTAACAGATATTCACATAGAAATAGTTTATGTATTTTCAGCAAATAAATGCAGTCATGGTAACCAGTAAAACAGAGTCAAAACAGTTAAAATGTGTAATTATTTATATTTATATGTAAATATAGTTTATTTCTGTCATATATACATATAGTTTATATGACAGAAATATTAGGAATAGTATGCAGAAGCTTTTCCCACCTGAACTTATCGAAGTGTAATTCAGTGTATATACTGAATTTTCAAATGTTTTTTTTTTTTGTTATAAATGAAGAGTTCAGATTCAAAAGCCTCTAAGTGCCGTCTTAAATTTTCTTCTAAAATGAGCATTTTTATCAGGCTCCTGTGTGTAGGTTCAGTGATTTCAGCAGAGGTGTAAAGAGTACCTAAAAACCATACTTGAGTAAAAGTACAGATACCTTACAGTGAAAATTACTCCACTACACGTTACAAGTCACCAATTCCAAAACAACTTGAGTAAAAGTCTTCGAGTATCTAATTTTAACAGTACTTAAGTATTTTACTTATACTAAATATAGGCTCAAAGATGCACTAGTCAAAGAGACATGCAAGTGAAAAACTGTAACGTTGTGGAGAAGCTGCGGAAAACAGGCAGAGGCAAGGATCTATGTGCTGGTATTTCATGGAAAAACTAGAACAAACAATAAGCCCAAAACCAAAGGGAACAAAGAACAGAATGACTGGCAAACAGACAACCATTACATTCAACAACTCACAAGGAACTAAAGAAAAACCAGGGCTATATACACACACATAGGGGGCTAACAAGCTTAAGGCCCGCAATCACGTTTATTTTCTAAAACCAAAATAAAACTGAACACCTCAAAATTACAAAACAAACAAACAAAAACAATATCTTTCAAAAAGGTCTCTTCAGTGTAATGGATAAATAAAATAATGTTAAGTAAAATTAGAAAGCCGAAGCCTTCTTGCAGTGGATGTGCTGGTTTTGGCCTCATTACCAGCTGCAGTCATGTCCTCATCTTGTATATAAAACACCTCTGATTCACAAATACTTGCTAAGGAACTCGCATTCACATAGCCTTGTTGACAAGTTTGGGTGAGTAAGGGCAAAACGCACAAGGTGCAGTACTTTCAGTGACCTGTAATAGGCAGCATCACGTTTTTTGTAGCAGAAATAAACTGCTGCAGAAAAAGCTAGGTCCATGCCAAATTTAATGTGTAACTGCAACACTCATTCAAAAATGTAGTGGAGTAAAGAGTAAAAGTTGCTAATATCTTTGATACTCAGTACAGCTACAAAGTACTCGAAAAGATACTCAAGTACAGTAACTAATTACATTTACTCCAATACTTTACACCTCTGGATTTCACTTGGCAATGGCAATGAATAGGTCATTTTCATTGCCATTAAAGTGAAATAACTGAAAATAAACCTAGGAGCCTGATAAAAATGCTCATTTTAGAAGAAAATTTCAGACGGCACTTGGAGGCTTTTGAATCTGAACTCTTCATATTTCGTTTGTTTTTATTTGAACTGCCTCTAAGCTAATCTTGTTCATTACTGAGGCCATGTGATGAATGCTATAGTATGCTATACTGCTGTTTAAACGTCTGTCACTGCATGCTGCGACATTTTCAGTTGCTGTTTTTACGGTAAGTACACTAGTAATCCGTTCAGAGCAGTTTGAGAAGCTTTGGGATCTGTTGTCAGTGCTGATGATTTCTGGCCTGTTCTGCTGGATTCATCTGTTCTGAAAACAGATCTTCAGCACTGCTGCTATTTGAAGAGCTGAAGGCAGATGAACGTTGACCAGAGACAGACAAATATTTACTCCGGTAAAAGTGCAAACGCAACACATTTCCCACATGTTAGAACCTGTAAGGATCCATATTGTTCCTGTCAGAGCTGGGCCTCCCTCTCTCTCCCTCTTTCTCGCTCTGTCTTTTCAATTCAATTTCACATAACTTTATTGGCATAAAGTACATTTTGTGTTGCAAAAGTATTAAAATGACATATTAAAATAGAAAATGGATTAGAGCAACTTGGTCAACAACTTTGACCTCAGGGAGGCAGTGATCCAGTTATATGACCTCTGAACTTAAGACTTGTTCTTTTTGAGGCCTACATTGAGGTCAGGCTGTTTATAGTATTCAATTACCTCATATCACGCCAGTAAACAAACACAGCAAAAATATGTTGGGAGATTTGTCACCATGAGTGTTAAAATGATCACTTTTCAGGTGAACTTACAGGTCCATCTTTGCTAGTGTTAAAACAACACTGACAAAAGTGTTTATTATCCAAACACTGTGTTAGTGTTTCATTTTAATCACTCAAGGTGTTGAGAAATTATTGCTCGCAAGTATACACATTTAACACTTTATGGTGATTAATCCCACACACCCAGTGTATTTATTTAATGTTGATTTATTGTGAATTTTGTAAATATTATTTTAAAATGGTAATGCAGATTCAATTTAAAACATAAAACTATAAATATTTTTCAAAAACCAAGTGACTATGAATTTATTTCAACAATTATTGAAATTTTAATATATCAAACATACAATAGAATAAAACAGCTCTGCTAGTCTCCAATGCATCTTAATACCGTTTGGTATGAAAATACACATTCATTATGATAAATATTTCTTTATAAAGCTCTGCTGAGTTTCTATAGTTTTTGTAACTATGTAGAAAAATGAGTCAGCACCATAGGATATCTGTGCATCAAACAAAGAAACATTCCTTAAGTTGTCCTTGTTCACTATACATGTTTACATGTTGAGATGCTTTGTCAAATAATCTGCATGGATATGAGCTAACTTCAGGTGTCGAAACAATTTAATGCTTGTACCCAGCAATGACTTGCAAATAAAACATCTTATCATCATGTACTTTCCTTTAAACTCAGTAACTGTTTAACAGTTTTGCTCTTAACTCTCGAGTGCGTGATGATTGGCTGGATGTGCTAGGATGGATTTTGTAGACTGTTGTCTGGATAAAGGTGAGCATGTTGCTGAGAGATGGGTCATATTGTGCACCAAAGACAAAATTAGCTTTAAAAAGCTCATTAAAAGCTCCAAATGAAGTACTTGCTTGACAGGGTATGAGATTCTTGTTGACCACAATGTAGAACTTGAGCACATTGGTTTGTCCAGTGGCCAGAAAGATAGGGCTGCCTGTCCTCCACCTCTGAGAGATGGTCCTCCAAACTTCTGCAGGACTGACTAATAATATAAAGATTATTTAAATGCCATAAATTCTAGCATACATTTAAAATCACAACATAGTAAAAAATGTTTTTTTATAAACTGGAGAACATTTTCTTTAAGCTGAGTTACATCCCTTGTCTTACCAACCTCTTTTGCAAGCTTAGAATCATCCAACCTGGGTCACTTGGAAGGGCAGGCAGAAGTTTTGTTGCCTTCATTGCATTCAGTAAAAGTTGAAGACTTGCTGACAGACTTCCCATCAGTCAGAAGGGGGGGACAACTCATGTGCAGAAGTTGAATCTGTATACAGCATATAAAAATATTACTTGCCAAAATGTAAACATCACCA